CAAACTAACAGTTAACAGACAGTTTAGTAAGCTAGCCTGTTAGCTAGCTAACAACTTTTGCTCTTTTTAGCTGCAGCCTCGAGTAAATCAAGAACACAGCACGTGACAAAACGACTGGTGTTTCAGAGAAATGGGGGACATTAAAGTGGTGGAGACAAACTGAATACGAGGATGAAAAAGTTTTCAATGTAAAGCTAAAACTGTCCTCAAAACGAGGCCTCGCTGCAAAGTAAAAACAAACAGCGCTGGACGTCCTCGTCTTTGATTCTTGTCTTCACACTCAGCTCTGTGTGGAATCGTTCTCATCTCCAGTCATGCGTGTGATTGCTTCCTCTGTGCCTCTTGGGTTATTACGTTGATGAAATGAACCCCCTGATGCCGTTACCTGTGCAGGTGCTGACAACATTACGCTCATTTCAGATGAAATGTTGTGATTTATGTCAACAAACGTGACGATGAGCAGAGAGAAGGCAACGCTGGGTCTGTTTAAAACACTCAACTCTCAGGAATCCCTGAACATTTGACACTTTGTTGACTTTGATACAAAACCAACAATTTAATTTGAATTTAAAATAGATGAAAGTGTTTTTACTGAAGTGTCTCAAAGGTTTGATCAGCTGCTCCTGGCTGCTGAGAGGCTGGAACCACCTGCTGCTTTAACTTTTAGACTTTGTTTAATAAATAATAATAAATCAATAAATAACTCTTTAATATTGATAATGAATCTGTTGTGTGCACAGAGAACCTTAATATCAGGGGGGTCCAATCCTGGTCCCTGAGGACCCCCATCCTGCATCTTTCTGGAGGTTTCTGCTCAAACACACCTGGTTTGGATCAACGGGCTTCTGCAGAACTTGAAGAGGATTTTCAACCATTGAAACTGGTAAAACCTGCAGAACGGGGTCCTCCAGGACCAGGATTGGACAACCCTGGATTAAATTATTTTCTGATATGTGAAACCTGAGATCTAAAGGAGGGTGGACTTTCTTTTGTTATACTTCCCATCTGCACCAGCATGTCCAACAAGTGTCCATAATAAATCCAATCCCTAAACAGAGATGAGTCTTACTGTTGTTCTCTGCAGGTAAGACACTGACTGCTCATGAAAACCTAAAAGAACCAGACTGTAGAAGCAGCTGGAGACTCTGTGTTGGGAACTCACGTCAGTGATCCTGGGGTCCGGGCACGGGGCCGAGTCCTGCGGCGTGCAGAGGTTCTGGTAAACGCAGGTCTGCGACGCGGCGCACCACACGCAGCTGTACTTGGCGTCGGCGTGTTTGCACAGACTGCAGTCCTCCCTCCCCACTGAGCAGCTGTACAGCACGACTGCAGGAGACGAGACGATTACATACTCGCCACCGGAGCGGAGAACGAGACGGAGGGAGAAGAAGCCGTTTCTTCTCCTTCCGATGGAGGTGAGAGTGAGACACCGACCTGTCAGGGTGCTGTCGATCTTCCTCTCGGTGCCTCGGTCTTTGACGTGGAAGGACACGTTCAGCTCCTGCTGCTTGTCATGAGGAAACTGTGACAGACAGACAGACAGACAGACAGACAGACAGACAGACAGACAGAC